TTTTAATGAAAATACTATTAACTTTCATTTCTGTATCTAGTGCAATGCACTTTTCAACCATCAGACAAAAAGTAGAAAAATTGTCATATTGAATGACATAGTGAATAGGAAGCCATCCACTGATTCGGTGTCCATCAATTATATCACAATGCTATTGCATTACAAAGAAATAACATATTGAATTGAGTCCATGGCACTAACCTTTGATGCACGACAAAAAAATACTTTATAAATTGAAAAAAATTTGTTCTTAATGGCATAATACAGTGAACTATGACCATCCTATAATAGGCTATTAATAAAAGAAAAATGCTACAGTATTTACTTTGTCTTCAAGGAATAAATCTGCTCCTTTATCAAGCAGTATAACTACTTCATTTTTATGGTTACCTTCAACAGCATAATGTAATGCTGTTTTTCCAGTAATCTAAAAGTAATACAATGTCAACAAATGAAGTAGCATCATGCAAAAAAACCTCATTTTGGTGATTCAAACAATGTCTAAAATTTTTGTGCTGAAGAAAATAATCAGGTAAAAAACCATAAAATGAACCATAGTGCAAAGGAGTCATACCATTCTAGAAATTATCATTATCAACATACAAAAATTCTGTGAAATCACCTCATCAGGTTCATTTAAAAAATAGTCACTTGCCAATAGCAAATTTACTATATCTTCATCTTTATTAGCTATTGCAATATGCAATGCAGACATTTTACTCTATAAAAAAAACATTGAAACGGCTTGCTTATAATCAATATTGATAGTTATTACTTATGCCTATACCTTGTTTGTCGCTTGAAGAATATTTTTTTCAATAGCTTGCTGTTTTGAAGCCTTAATTATGACTTTAGCAATTTCTGTGTACTTTTTTGATACTGCATACAATAGTGGAGTCATTCCATTCTTTTTCATAATTAATATAATATTAAATTGCAATAACATTAAGTTACCTGCTCATTCTTGCAATTAATTTGAGCCCCTTTATTAATAAGCAATAAACAAATCCATTTTTTTTCATTACAATATTCATCATCTTCCTCTTCTTCAGTTTCATTCATTGCTGCATAATGCAATGCTGAGTTTCCTTTCTGCATGATAATTGAATCATAATTAAATGAAATTGTATCACCTTGCATGCCATATTAACATCCAGTTTTTTGTTTGCAAGTACTAAATCAGTCAGCCTATAGCTATTCATTATTGCAGCATGATGCAAAAGTGTCAAACCATTCTAAATGAGTACATAATTTATTTAGCTTTATCTGATGTATTTACCACATCTTTGACTTTAATGTCAGCTCCTTTCGCATTTAGGTATTCTACCAAATCATAATCTTTATTCATAGCTGCATAGTATAAAGCAGTATATCCATCCTATGCAATTGTATAAAATAAAATTATCTAACTGTAATTGATTACATGACCAACTGATAAAAATAATTGTAATGAAAAATTGAAAAGCATCACTTACTGCATCACAAATTTTTAGATCAGCCCCTCTGTTTAAAAGGAGCTTATAAAAGTGACTTGAAAATTTTAGTCTAATAATAAAGTGCAGAGCTGTTTCATCGATCTGTTAATCAAATATAAATCATAGTAATTTTAAAATAAAACTACACCTTAACTCTTGACATAGGGTCATTTTTAAAACGTTCTTCTTTTTTCTAAAAAAACTGAGTAAAAACGGGAAGTAAATATTACAAAACTAACTGTCATTCTTGCATTTAGGTCTGCATTATAATCCAGTAAAAGTATTAGAATTTCAAATTTTTCCTGACTTACAGCATACTGAAGAGCTGTATGTCCTAGCTATAGTGGAAATGTTAATAAATTTTTTATTAGCACATACACCATGCAATGCAATC